ATGCATTGTTATCATCACATGGCAGCCACGGTTATGTTAGCTGTTCCCCCTGACAGCCATACTGTGGGAATGTTATAAAAACATCTGCTTTCTAAATTCTCTGTTCTACTCTGATTGACACTCTTGAAATCTTTAAGAGTGTGTTTCAGGAAGGAGACGAAGACAGAAGCTAAGAAATTCATTCAAAGTTTAGATACAATGTGGGTTTCCAAATAATTTGAAGATCTGCTCAAGTCAGATACCAAAGATACTTATTTTGAACATCTGTAATTTATCAATCTTTTTGCTGTACTTAAATACAGTCTCTTGGTCATTTTTCAGGAAGAGGAGCGTGTTTTGATTGAAGAAACAACTTTTCTAACAACTCATTTTCATAATTGGACACTAAAAAGCATTCAATCCTTACATGCAGCTCATATGAAAAAAGGTGACTTAAGGGGACAGAAATTAGTAACTATCAACGAAGAAGTAATATTTGTAAACTTGTGAAACATCACAAAAAAAGTGTTCCTTTTGGTTGAGAAATAAACCAAGACAATATTCCATACTACATACAAACAAAGCTCAGTGAAAAAATAGTGATTACCTCCTCTATTGGTGTGTCAGCTTTCTTTTCATTGTTGTTCAAAGACAAACTCTGGAACTTGTCATCCAGTTCCCCATCCTTGGAATTTGACTAAATAAGGAACAATTAGAGCAGTCAGCCAAAAATTGCAAATGGGAATTTTCAAAATAGAAAGGTTTAAATTATGAAGAAAATATTCATTCCACTGAAATCATATTTATTAAAACAGCATCATTCAAATCATTTTAGAACCATCCTTCTTCACCTTTTAGAGTTGGTATACTATGTGCATAAGAAAACTACCATGAGCTTAGATCAGATATTTAATTTAACATCAAAATACAACAATGTCAATATAATCTCTCTCTACCCTTTCATTTGCAGAAATCATTCAGCTGACCACATCTCTTGTTCTTAACATGACCCAATACATGCCATGATTCAAATTCTTGACACACCACATATTTATAAAATATTGGTTTGAAGTGAAGCCACCCTTTTCAGAGCATCATCAATTCAAAGTCCTTACACTGGCAGACCTCCACTTAAATTTGGTTGTCTTATTGTTCCTACAGTTGCAAATGTTGATTGGCCACATGCTTGTGCTAATGATAGTGCTAATCCTTTACACCCTAACATCAGCATGCATATTCTCTATACTGTTCTGTGTACATATCCTGGGGTGCTGACAGGGTTAGTTTGTTTGACGATCAAGACCTTATTTCATGGACATTAATTTTCTTTATTCTTGTGACCTTACTGAGCAATACAGGTGTAATGTCATAGGGAGAAACTGGATGCTAGTCACTATGGGGTCAAAGAGTTATGCCCTGTGAGCCAAATTACTTCTTGGATCAGTATTTTCTTACAACAACTTGTGATGTTTACATTAATGCTGCATTTTTTCAGTTTCATTCCATACTACTGCTTGATGATTCATCTCTAAACATTTCACATTCTGATGAATCAGCACAATGGCGTAGAGGATGGCTCTCACAAAGAGTATCCCACAAGAAAATATAGAGACTCCATCTTGCTCAAGTTTGTTTGCCCAGAGAGCCAAACCTCAACAGCAAAGAAGTCAGCTTTCTTCGATGTTCAACAAAAACATAAAAAAGCATAAATCAACAGAAAATTTCAATATTTTTAAACCCATCTGTAAAATCATTGTTGAGTTGTCAGCATCATCCAGTGTACTACAATCATCAAGAATGATTCATTTTTTAACACAAAATTTAAATTATCTTTGCTCTTCATAAACCCCAAGAGCTTCAAAATAGCAGGCTTCAACAATCTCTCCTATGTTTTTTTGGGTCAGGTGCCTACATTACAGATGCCTCACTGAATACTGCTCATTCTCGTGAAGAATTGACCACAAAAGCCAAAGTGCAATCTTATGAAGGATGGATAAAGCTATCCAACAGATAATTTGCTAATTTTATAATTTGGACAGAGATATATCCAGTGGATAGCCTTATCCAGCCTTCAAACAACTAAGGCCTGATATTTAAACAAGCACCCTACATTAATGAGAGCCATTGCATCATTCTGTCTACTAATAATAACAGACAGGCAAGTAAGACTGACTTTGAGTTTAGATAGTAATAGATAGATAGTGCCTAAATAGATATCAAAAGGTTGAATCATCAGTTGAAGCTTATTACTTGGTACTTTAGGTTTACAAGAAGGCATTAATGTTGCCTCCAAATAGAGAATGAAATTGAAAACCACGAATGCTGCATGCACTTTGCTGCCTATAGAGGCAAAAGAAGGAAATTGAAACAGAAGGAAAAAACCATAACATTTATTTTGTGCATTTTTAAGCAGTCATAAAAACTAAGTCTCTAGATGAAAACAATAATTACAAGGATGATAATAAAGAATCTCTGAAGGCATTTCCCAAAAATGTCTTTGTTAATGAGTGCAAAGCAAGATATCTCTCAAAACCCCCAAAAATTCATTATCCTTGAAAACACAAAACTACAGGACTTACAAGATCACTGACATTCAGCAATAAGGAAAGAAATATATACAAAAGGAAAAAAGCATGTAGCAGTCCAGTTGTTAAAAATAAAACAGGTTTTGCTGAGGGCCATAGCTTTGATTTGTTACACTAATAATTGAACAATGAATAGTGGAATGCAGGCCCATGGAGGCAAGTAAACAAGTTAGACAAGAAGTTTAAGATGGAATTTCACAACGCTTCAGTGTGTTCACTTCCATCTTTGACTCATTTTAAAAACGGTAACTCTGCTTCCCGACATGCAAGACTTGACTGAATCACCGATGCTTTCTTTTCGATCACATATCAGAGCTTTCTGATATTGCATTTAAACTAATTTACTCTATATCAAAATGAGACGAGTCGATCGTATATTTCAAAACAAAATAAGAGAGCATATTCCATTCTACAGTAGCGTAAAACCCTGGCGATGGAATTAAGCAGCAAGCTTATATCGCAACATTGCAGTTCACGCAGAGAATTGTAGTAGATAGTGAAATTTATTCATCGCTCTTGCCTTTAGCTGACAGGAAAATTCGTGCTTCACAACATTCGCGATGCGCATTTTAAATTTCCACTCCACAATATCGTGCTATAAGAAGTTAAATATAAAAAGATTTACTCGACATTTCGGGAAGACGCTTTAAGCGTTATTACAACAACGCTTTAAGCCGACAATCAATGTCTCAATAGAACACAGAAATGAAATTTTGCAATCCACTTAAACTGCACTGCCTACTCTGGAACCATACGTTTGGTAAACCAACCAAAAGCTAAGCATTTAAACATTTATCACTTCTCTACAAAAGTAGCTGTTGCATTTAAGAATGCTTAGTCGTTCCTAGCACGAACCAAGTCACCGTAATTCTACTCGGTCATATACACAAGCTAAAATAACACTGTTGACATAGGTTTTTACCTGCTCTGACATTCCTTCACCAACAGATGACCATCGCTGGCCAGAAAAATTGCCTTTGTCGTTTTCTGAAACTGTTTTAGAAAAGCTTGTTGCGACTCCTTGACGCTGGAAAAGGTAACTTGCCACTTCACCGTTCGATTTGCCACCTACATCGATTTCGAAGCCACTGTTGTTCGTCTTCGATCCACCATTACTGGTGCGTCCTACAAGTTTTGGAGTCATACCATTGCTGTGGTACGCTCCATCTTCCCATCCAACTTCGTTCATGCCAAGAACACATGGAAAACTCATTGGACGGATCTAAACAGAACAGAAATTTCTTAAGTCAATAATGAACGCAAACTGGTTCTAAACACAAAGTACGGGGGTGTGACTTGCTGCGTTTGCAAAAACTATCGGGATACAAAACATCCAGCAACTGAAATAACCGATAATACGTGAACAAAAATCATTTGCCGTCATAAATTCTTCTCCATCACAGATCTAGGACAAAAGATGCTCGATCAACTAACCGGATGCGAAAGGCCTACGAAAGAAAGGCCATTCTTGGCATGGCCGTCGCTGGCTTGTCAGATAAGAACATTCCCATGAGTCCCTAGGACCTCAATTGTAAACACGTGGTTTGTTTTTGGTTGATTTTGCACACGTGCAAAGAGGACACCGAAAAAAAAATTTTCAGCCTTCGACCATGTTCAATTCAAAACAATAATTTTTTAACCAAGAATTATTAAAAACTTAAGCTTTTTAATAAATGGGTAAATCAACTTAAGAGCATTGTTTTGTGTTTTTTCTTCTCCAGTTGGTGAACATGTGAAATTAATATTTAAAATGCAATGTTCTTTAAATTTTTATACGCCATGAGCGAATATTTCGAATGAGCAGCTCTACGTGTTTCACTAAGGAAATCGTCCTATTCATGTTGATTCTTAAGTGATTTTACTATCGGCCTGACCCTCATTGAAAATATGCAAAATAAACAGTCACTGGAATGGCGCTTTCATTAGAAAACTACTTCCATAATTAATGGACTGCAAGAGGCCGTACAAAGGCAGTGCAAGAATTTCTCCTGAAAAATTCTCACTGACTAAAAGTTAACAGATAATTAACTTCCAAGACATTTTATGATCTCGAAATCTTAAAGAGGAAAATACCGTGAAACGTTTTCTTTCCATCTGCTGCTATACCTCTCTGTACAAAATTCACGAGTTCATCACGAGACCAAAGAACTAACTTACATGGTCGCTGTTAATCCCGCCACACGATCTCGTCCTCCAACACCAATTGTTTGTTTGTGGTGGAAATTGTGGCTTTCTCTGAACTTTGCTGGTCATTTCATTTTTTTTTTTTTTCAGTTTCAAGGTGTGGAATGAGCTCTCTCAGCAAATTCTGTTGTGTGTGAAATAGTTCGAATCGATTGCCTCACTTTCACGAGTGATCGTCGATGATCGTCAGTTTTCGAAATATACGAACAGCGTCTTTATAACCGCTGACCATAAAGAATTTTCACCACGGAAGCTGTCTACAACGCAATGTGCACGTAGCTCTTCCCGGTGGCCGGTCATTGCTATGAAATCTCACCATTGGAACCGTTTCCTAGCTCTTGTTGCTATAGTATGTTTAAGCGTTGATGTAGCGTTTTCAACGATTGTGGAAATACAGCAACATCAAGGTATATATTTCACTTTGTTTTCATGCAAATTTTAGATGTCACGCAAGAGTGCGTACTTGGTCTCTGTTGTTCTTTTAGTGTTTTTGCGCGCGTGGTTGCTCTTGATATGGAACTTGAACAAATTGTAAGCGTCAAAGCACATTACCTCCTTTTGTTGGAATTTATCTTAAATCTGCCTTCCTTCACATGTCTACAATGAAAACCCATCTGTAAAATCCAATAAGTCCTCACTTTCCTGTTTTCCTTCTCGAACTATTTATCATTAGTTGACTTTGATCTTAGTGATATTTGTGGGCTTTAAAATCAAAATCGTGTACTTTTGCATTGCAACGGAAGGGTTCAGATAACAAATACACGATTTTCACAACTACCCTGATGAAAGTATCTTGTGATTGTATAGCAGTGCTAGGCCTCACCAACTTGAAAGACACCCTGAAATCTTGTCCAATCAATAACTCCAAGTTTGCGGCCCCTTCGTTCTATTTTCCTTCCTCAGATTTACTGTCATGTTCATATGATAATAAATTAAAGTGCAAATGATTATACTGGAATTACATAATTAAAATCCAGGTTTAGGAAAATTTTCCCAGTATATTATACCGTTTGTTTTTCTAGAAACCCAATGTAAAAGGGGTTCAAGTTTCTAAGTCTCATTGTATTAAGTTTATGTCTCAAGTAACATACCCTTGGCTCAGGTCCTGGCCTGTTCACAGCCACAGGAAGAGTGATAAACACCATTTCAATTGTGGACACACAATTTTCCTTCAATCAAACCAGAGATTCATCACGAAGGATGAAGAATATGCCATAGTGTAATAGCAAATTCAAATTGTTGTTTATAAGATAATGTTGATTACTGATCAATTTGAGTGTTCTTCAGTTAATTAGTAATTAGGCAAGTTTACAGTTTGAATTCTAAATCAGTGTTGATAGTTTTTCATTGGTCCCTTCTTTTTTGTGTTAACAGTTCACTAATTTTGTATGTGTCCCACCTGCATGTGTTGTATTTTGAAGAAACTAATTTATAAAGATCATTACCCTTGATGTGACAGTAAATTTTCCATTCCATTTTCACTCCACAACATGGAAATTGATAATGATCATTTATCACAGTTGTAATTGAAAAGAAAAGAATCCATAAATTATTATTGAGAAAATAACAATAAATTTCTGTCAATCATTATTCATTTTGAGATTTCTCAATTAACTGACTAGTTTTGAACTTGATAGGCTCTGATGAATGTTACCAGTTACTGACAAGTTTCTTTTTTTCTGTGTTAAACACATCAACCCTCAAATCTGATGAGCAACTTTCCAACAGTGATCAACTTGTTAATGGGGGGGTTTATTCAGTACATTCAGAGGTAGGACAACCATGGGTGATGATGAATTTTGTGGTCAAAAACCTAAAGTTCTTATTCAACTTAAAAAAAAAAGAAAAGGAAACATTATGAAGACTTACTCTTTTATGTGACTTTGGGTGCACTTTTGTATATGTCAATGTCAGTTGTTAACTATAAACAAGGCTGCTTATATTAATTACATACAAAAAAGTGATAATGATGGTAACTAAGTAGAGATAAGCAATACCTTTTTTAAGAGCCAGGGAACAGTGGGTGTCCTTAAAATTTACTTACATCCCCATATTTTATTGTACAGATTCAAAAGTTCCATTCTATGATCTAAGGAAAGCAACATTTATGGTACATATTTCATCTAACAGAAAGTCTCAAAATAAATTTAAACAATACAGAGCACAAATACACATTTTCAAACTTAACTTCCTTCTACCTCCCTCAAAGTCAAAACACACGGCTATCTACACATAGTGCCCCAATCAATTTAAAGCTTCAACACCTCCACCCCCCTCGCTGAGCAACCCACAGACATTTGACTATGTTACAGGGGTGAGGAATTGGAACCTTGCCAGAGTGGGTTGGGGAATTTGAACCAGCAAAATGCACATGTTTTTAATCAAAATAAGGAGGAGTTTAAAGGTAAAGAGTCTGTTTTCATGAGCAAATGGCTTAGAAGAAAATTTTCACATCGCAGAATGGTGCTTACAGGGGAAAAACAGTGACACCAAAAACTAATACATGGCTTTGCTAAATTCAGCAACATTCATTGATCATACAAATAATTTTTAGAAAAAAATTGTGCTTGACTGGGGCTTTGCAGTGCAATTTTGGGGTGAACAGCAGCAATTTGAATGAACCAGTCTTCAAATGTTCAAATGCCCTCCCCCTGGTTTGGTTTATGTGTTCAATTTATGTAAGCACCTCTTGCTTTGAAGAAGACTGATAAAAAAGACAACAAAAATGATCTGCTATAACTGTCATACAGAA